AAGCTTGATTATCAGTGTAAATAATGAATTCTCGCCCCAACAAATAATGTTCCCAAGTTTTGAAGGCTCGATAGACTACATACAACTCTTGCTCATAAGTAGACCATCTCTGTCTAACTTCATTCAGTTTTTCACTAAAGAATGCGATAGGCCTTTCTGATTGTGACAACACACCACCAATTCCAATCCCACAAGCATCGCAATCTACCTCAAACAATTTATCAAAATTAAGTAAAGCAAGAATAGGGGCGGAAGTAAGCTTATCTTTAATTTCTTCAAAGCTTTTGTTTGCAGCTTCGATCCATATAAACTGATGAACTCTCTCCTTCTTTAAACAATCTGTAATGGGAGCGATGATGCTAAATCTCATATAAACCTGATGGACTCTCTCCTTCTTTAACAATTTCTGGTAATGGAGCGATGATGCTACACTAAGTTTCTGGAGAATAGCCTAAAAAAGTAGCAAGGCCATGAAAATTGTGAACTTCAGTTAATATTCTTTAGGGAATGGGCTTTAATTTCTTCAAAGCTTTTGTTTGCAGCTTCGATCCATATAAACTGATGAACTCTCTCCTTCTTTAAACAATCTGTAATGGGAGCGATGATGCTACTAAAGTTTCTGATGAATAGCCTATAAAAAGTAGCAAGGCCATGAAAATTGTGAACTTCAGTTATATTCTTAGGGATGGGCAAATTTCGAATGGCCTCAATTTTCCTGTCATCAACATGTATCCCCTTCGAGCTAACAACATAGCCAAGAAACAGAATCTGCTCTTTTGTCATAAAGCTGCACTTTTTAAGGTTGATGAATAACTCATTTTCCTGCAAAGTGTTTAACACCAGACGAAGGTGCTGAAGATGTTCTTCCTCACTGCAACTGAAGATCAAATTGTCATCAAAATAAACAACTACAAATTTGCACAAGAAAGGATGTAAAACCTGAATCATAAGCTGCATGAACGTGCTAGTTGCATTAGTAAACCCAAACGGCATAACCAACCACTCATACAACCCTTCCTTAGTCTTGAATGCGGTCTTCCATTCATCTCCCACCTTGATTTGGATTTGATGATACTCGCTGCGAAGATTTATTTTAGAGAACACTGTAGATCTTAACAGTTGGTCCAATATGTCCTGCAGACGAGGAATAGGAAATCGATATTGTACCGTGATCTTATTGATGTCTCGGCTATCCATACACATTTTCCAAGTCCCATCCTTCTTCGGTAATAATAAAGCAAGAACTCCACAAGGACTAATGTTCTCTTTGATATGTCCCATCTTCAATAATTCTTCCACTTATTCTTGAAGAATTTGGCTCTCCTTCAGATTCATCGTGTAATGAGGCAGGTTCGGTATCTTTGATCCAGGGATGAAATCAATCTGATGCTGGATGCCCCACAAAGGTAGAAGTGTAGATGGATCTTCAACTATGGCTTGGAACTCATCTAATAACTCCTTTGCAAGAGGTGGTAGTAGTGCCCTTTCTTCAAAATTTGTCTCTGGTCTGATCAACAAGACTAACGCACCTCCGGACTTCTCAATCGCACTCGAAAATTCCTGCACATTGGAAGAAACAGCTGCTATGGATTTCTCCTCCACTTTAGAAGCTTTAGTAGAAAATCCAAAACATAGGACAATGATTTTCTTGTTTCTACAAGTGAACAGGTATGAATTCTCTCTCCCCTTATGCAATGCATCAAGATCAAACTACCACGGACAACCTAGCAATACTCCACAAGCATCCATTTCCACAACATCACAACTAACATAATCTGTGTACGATTTTCCCATTGAGATAGGAACTTTGTAAATTCAGTTGACTTCAATCATTGGACCCTCTTTAATCCACCCTACCTTGTATGGCGAAGGATGTCGTTCTGTAGGCAAATTCAGCTTCTCAACCAACTGTTTGGCTATCAAATTTTCACAGCTGCAACTGTCGATAATGAGTCGGCACACTGCTTCACCAACATGACATTTAACCTAGAAAATTTTCCTTCGTTGAGTGTCATTTTCCTGTTTTGGAGAGTACAATATTTTCTAAACAACATACGTAACTTCACCATATTTTGAACCCGCCATAGATCCATCATCTTCGTCTTCTACTACTTCCAACTCAGCCACCTCATCAACTACATTTACCTGTCGATGCCCATCATTAGCCCCCCTGCGTTCTGGACATTTATTAAATGTATGTCCCTGTTTTCTACATCTATAACAATAGTCCCTTGTTGGCTTCTGATACGGATTCGGTCTATTGTTTCTATCTGCCATAGGAGCCTTTACCGGGGGTCTTTCTTTTCCTCTATCGGAATCTGTCGTAAGTTCTAATTATTAGCAGGAGTTACTGCTCTTAAACTCTATCCACTGTAATTACTACTGGACTGTTGATTTCCGGATGAATAAGTTTGTCTGAAACTCTGATTATGATTAAGTGGTTGTCGAGGCTGCCAGTTAAGTCTATCTTCTGCATGTTTGCCCATCTCAATTGCATCTGTCAAAGTGAAAATCACGGCTACACCCATTATACACATTATATCATGATTCAATCCGCTCTGATAATGAGCCACTTGCTGGGATTTAGTCTCACAATTATCACATCAAGCCTGCAATCTCAAAAATTCTTCTGTGTACTCATCAAACTTTCGATTTCCCTGAAAACAATCATAATATCTGTTATACAGTATTTGAGAGTGATCACTGGGAGAAAACGCTGCTCAATCAACTGTTTCATTAAAAATCCAATCTTGCACAGGTTCAATCCTTTCCTGGGAAGAAAACGCTGCTCAAATTTCGCAACTGTTTTCATTTAAAAAATCCAATCTTGCACAGGTTCAATCATTCGATCGATGGCGTTTCGTTTTGAATAGAGTGCCAACCCATGCTGCTTCACCCTCTTTAACGCTGCTCAATCAACTGTTTCATTAAAAATCCAATCTTGCACAGGTTCAATCCTTCGACGATGGCGTTCGTTTTGAATAGAGTGCCACCATGCTGCTGCACCTCCTTTTAGTTTATATGCCACAATGGAAGCTTTACGCTCATCTTCAACATTCATAATCTCAAAGAAACATTCTACCTCAGCTAACCAATCAAGAATGCTTTCAACATCTAAAGATCCTGAGAAAGATTGAAGATCTGCCTTTATTTTGTAATTTTGGCCTCCATCAAATTGAGAAAGATTTAACTTAATTTTGACATTTTTATGGGAAGTGCTGCTGAAATTCATTTACAAATTGAACGAAATGCATAATACATTTACATATTCGATAAAACCATTATTGCAAAAGTTTAAGACCTTGATTATGAATGTAGCAGTAGATTAGCAAAGTAAACTTCCACAATTATATTCTGTTTTATACTTCTATACAATGTGATTGACTTTTATAGTAATACTTATATAATTTAATTCAATGTGATTGAGCCTTGATTGAGATGTTGAGTTTGTGTGAAATGGAGGTTACTTTGGAACCTACTGCATTATCGCTATCATCGTGTCTTCATCTTTATTGTCAGATCAATTGAGACTCCAAAAGTTGTTTCGATTCCAAGGAAGGAGTTTTGTTGATGCAAAATTTGCCTTGAAGCATGCTAAGAAGGAGTTTAGAGTTTTCTCTCAATTCAAGCTTCGATCTGACAGAAGCTTGAAAATTTTTTTTGTGATTTTTCATGTATATCAAGGTTAATAAAACCTATGGTGCTCCAATTGGGATACTCCTCTCTACACAATTTTGCCAAGTGACGTCCGATGGCTACACCGACGCGGGCCGATAGCACCTGGATCAACAACCCCATGACGGTGGCCCACACCAGTAGCCAAAGCAGCGAGTATCCAGCAATCGCTCCGGCCTGGAGATCCCTTTCTAAATTCCCCGGATCTAAAACGCTATGTTCAAAAAAAATCCAGGTCCAGTAAATAACCAAAGTTTTTTCCACGAGAATGGAGGCACAAAATCGTCGGCATCAATTGTGTGCGACTTATCCACACCTATGATTAGGATTTTCTACCGCGCTTCGCGAGCGGCTTCTTTGGAGTCTTCGCCATCCAACGACGATAATGTTGGTGATTGGATTGGTCTCGCTAATAGGCGGCTCGATTCCTCCTTCCTGTCGTCTTCTCTGGAATCTTCTTCTCGAGATGGGGAGCTCATTCTTTCTTTAATTTATAAAATGGTGGAGCTAGAGCTGTTTTGGGCTGTTAATATCCGATGTTAAAGGAAGCAGAGGAGGCCTCTTTATTCTCAGTTGATTTGGCAAGAAGAGACCACCTTGGCGATGGGTTTATATATCTTTTTTATCTTTTAGCTTTCGTTATCAATTTGCTTTGACCCAAATTCTTCTGTTTCTCTTCTTTTCAATCCTTTCATGCTCACCCACCATATCAGCTTGTCCACTTTCTTTTGACACGTTCAAGAACTCATTACTCAGGTTTTTTCTGTTAGATTAGCTGGGAATTTATCGTTATTTCTTAAAAGATTGAAGCTTTTCTTTATCGAGAATGCCATGGTTGATCCCTAATGTTTTTTGCGTATTCGGGCTCAATTGACTTCTCCTTTGTCCTGCGCCTCCTGTAAAAAGAATCCAGGGGTGTTCTTCAGTGGTTCTGCCGATGGTCCATTGCAGTCGAGGGTATTTTGGTATTTTCACTTGATTTCGATATGTAAAAACCTCAAAATTGGAGGGAGGAAGCTTTTAATGAAAGGAGGTAAACGTGATTACTTAAATATTATATAAAAAGTCGAAAATTATTTAGATAATTATAGTAAATTTCAAAATTAAATAATTATTTCCCTTTTTAATAAAACTAAGTAATTTTAAAATTATTTTATATAATATTTAACATATATTTATTTCTCATCGGTCCTTTAATCCTTCACCCTCTGTCCTTGACCGGATCGATAACCGAGCGGCTCTTAAAACTTACCGGGACCAATAAATTGGCACATCAGGTGAGTAAAATTGTTATACTTTTGTAACTTGGTCTACGCTCGTGATTCTTTACTAAAGTCAATTTTCCATTTTAATTTCATACATTTGTTCTCCATTATAAAGAGAATCACAAATTTCACACTCAGGCGCTCAGTATTTTTGTTTTTTTTTTTTATCCTACAAGCAAATGGGTTGAGCAAAGTCAAAAACTGAAGCATGTAACCCATGAGATGTCTGTGTACAAATTTACCTCTTCTATTATACTGCTTCCTATACAAGGTACTCGTAGGCTATTCATATACAAGGTACTCGTAAATTATACAAACATCAGTTAAGTGTCACAAATGTCCTCCTTGCTCTTTACTGCTCCATTAACAGTTTCTTCATGTTCTATTGGAGTTTATTTCATCGTTTTTAAGCTGCTGGATTCTCTGGCGTAGTCTTCGTCGGTGGTCATGAATCTTCCAGAGGCCGTGTCCCAGTACAACGGCTGAATATATGCCATGTGTTATCATAGGCGCCAGAATATTACCTGTCTGTTCGTTTTGTCAGAATATAATGTAAAGAGGAATCTGTTAGTTCAAGAATGTAAAATGAAATCGCTATTAGATCAATAAAATGGAATCAGGATGTTACTTGAATCCATTCGAAACCAAGATATAGAGCCAAAAGTCCTTCTAGGAGCGGAGAGTAGATCTTTTTCATTTGCCGTCTTTCATACCATGCTGCAGTGTTAATGGCAATAATGAAAAGATAAAGTTACAACTTTGACCAAGTGATACAAAACAAAGTGCATATCAATAATATGCAAACATCTTTAAATTTGTCTATCAATAAGAAAATGAAATTCCTTATATTTTTCCAACTCATGCTCCTCTTGGGTGCAGATTCTTTTCATGGAAATGTCTTTGCACCCGAGAAAAAGAGACTAATTAATGAGGGCTATGAGATAAATGACCAGTAAGCTTCATTGGAAAGAGATTAATTAGAATTGCTTTACGTTGTAAGCCAAAAAATTTATCCTGCTAAACGGATTTGTTACAAAATATTCTTAAAAATTAAAGAACCCTGAGGAGATGGCAAAAGAAAGGCGGTTATACGTTCATCAAGACCCCAACAGAAAACAAAAGAAAAAAACATGCCAAAACAAGACCAATAAATTCATAGTTTTCTTGTTATAAGAAAATAAATAAAATTTACTGAAAATGACAAAAAAAATTCAAAATAATAGGGAATGCGAATGTATTGAGAATGATAGTGGAAGATTGTGAAACCTGCAAATAGCTTTTTCAGATCATCACGGCCAGACCGAGATTGTAGAACTGGTGCAACTACATAGGTAGGATCTGAGAGAAACAGGACCAACTAATAAATCAAAATATGTGGCAGGCAATTAAAACAAATGCATTTTCCGGAGTATCGAGAATATCAACCTTTTGGGGAGGTGGCTGCATAATACAAAGAACCTGTAAGAGCAGCTGTCAATACAGCTGCAAACCCCTGAGCAAATGGAACAAATGGAGGCAGCACACCAGTCTGCAATTTGTAGAAACACATCTCAGTTTTGTTTCAAGAAAAGCTTCATTACTTAATACAATATGGCATATGACGGGAAAAGAAACACATACCAGAACTGCCATTCCTCGAGCATTTGTTACCAAATCGGTACCCTTTACAAATATATCAGCCAATGCTCCCTATAATGTCGAGGAAAAAAAAGAACAATAATTTCAGGAAAGATTTATTTAGAAAAAAGAGTAATAATTAAGCATATCCCAATAAAAACCCCAATGATGGCCCAGCAAAAAGTACTTGTTTTTTGAGATCCCGCTATAAGTTCTATCAATATACATTCTGATCGCCAACTCATGCTAGATTTAGTTGCTTTTATTTAAAGTAGGAAACTAGCCCAATTTGAATTTCTTTTTTTTTAATTTTCGAAGTAACTTTCATCAACTCGCATTATTCTGATGTGAATCTTTAAAAAGAATTTGATGAATTTCTTATATTTTTTAAATATTTTATTAAAAGGGAGCCCCCTCATCTCTATCTACACATATATATATAAATGTTGGCTTTGCATTTTTTTCAGGCCTCCGCCACAATCTCGATCTATTTTTAAATAGCTCATTTACTCATAACCAACTTTTGGTATGAAGTGGTTTACAAATCACCCTCCATTTCACAATTATGTCATTGGACTAAATAAAAGGAAAATAAAAGACTGATAACTAAAAACAACTTAATCTTAACATTGGACTAGATAAAAAAAGAATACAGAATACAACATCCTATGACAGATAGCTCTTGCAAAACCCAATGGATTAAGCATGAACTAAGAGATCTCATGAAGAAAATCAGTTTAAGACATGCATTATAAAGTATCCAAGTTTTCAGAAACTCTATGAAAAAGTGAAACTGATAGAAAATCATGGGGGTTTCTACTTTGTTTATAGACAAATTCAGAATTTTCATATACTAGCTTTCTTTGTTCAACTTCATCAGTATAATGTGCAGTGTCACAGCTCATCGACTAGAAAAACAATTGCCTACACTGGGTATTTGAAATTACTTTGTAGCCACTCTTTTACCTAGTGAATAGACACTCATCAAGATTTTCTCACTACGGTACTATCTCATTAGCCAGGCATATACACCCAGTATAAGCAACTCAAATATCGACATGGCACATCAAATAAATTAATTAATGAAATATAAGGCCTGAAGCAACAAGGTCCCAATCTAAAACAATGAGCATGGCAGCAGTCCATTGACAGATTAAAACGTGTACTGCAAACTATGTATTATATATCAAATAGCAAATAATCTTCTTAAAGAGTTAAAGGCAGACCTGAACGGCAGCTCGGTAGAAAAGCTCCTCTCCCACTGAACTTGCAAGAACAATTAAGACAAACTGCAAATATGGCACAGTAAAATCAAATCCTCTTGCTTCATAAAGATGACTCTGAACAAGGAAAAATACATATAAATGGTAGAAAAGTTAACCTGCCAAGGTGACATCCCATAAAAGAAGCTCCTAAGTTCTTCGTCTTCTACATCTCTGATAGCTCGAGCATGAGGTGACAACTTTACAACTTCATCCTGTAGTCACGCCAATAAATTAAATTCACAATTTAAAATCATTCTAAATCTGTTAATTAGTCCAAAGAAATCCTCAAATCCATGTTTGTTCCACTTGATAATCATATTGTTTAACTGGGATACGTACCAGTCCAAAAAAATTAATCTAAAATTTAGCCAATTCATGAAAGGGTATGAAAAGAAATTGGGCGGAAATCCAACATACATCTAATATAAAGAGAAGGGCCATAATTGGTGGAGATGCATATCCAAGTCCTTCTAAAATGGCATCTAAAGATGGATTAAAACCTCCCGTGCTATCTATTCCAGTGATTGAGCATATGAATCTTCCTGCTAGAGCCATGGCACCATATATACCTGATTTATTAAAAAGAATAAAAATAAAAATCTTAATTCTTCTGTAAACAATTACAAGGAACTGTAACGCGGAAAAAAAAAGAAAAAAAAAGAAAAAACAAGAAACATAGTTCATCCTCTTTATTTTTTATTTTTTTTAAAAAAGCCAAGAAATTAAAAAGTGTAAAGCCATTGACTTTAGAAAGGAAAATTTCTCTCTTTCTAAAGCAGAAAGAGAGAAACGAATGAACGAACGAATAGAACAAACCGATTCCATAGCTAAGTCTAACCACAGCGCCAATCTTCTCCCAAACAGGAAACTCTGCATCGCCAAAGCTCCGATCAAATGTGGTCACTTCCATTGCACTTCCACTGAACCCTCCTCCGGGCGTGCTTTTTCTTTCTTCTATCCCTTCACTGCTCCTCTCCGTAGAGGCTTTAGCGCACCGTGTTTGGACTTTATTATTGTCTCCATCACTGAAGCTAAGTCTTCTCTTTCTTGCCGGAAATTCACTGATTCTCGATGAACCGCCAATTCTCCCGCTTATCGACGACGTCGTCGCTGCATGATTAGCAGTTCTAGATACCAATGCTAGCTCCATTACCCGATATTTCGGTCTTCGTCTTTGTAGCGGAGCATAGCTCTATCGTATTCTCTGTGTTGTTTGTTTGTTTCAAGGAATTTGGACCTCTAGCTATTGGGTTTAGAGCGGAAGAGAGTGGACGGGTCAACTAAAAGCTGTTGAGCGTTTGATCTTAAGAAGAGAATGATCGAGCGGTGAAGAGAAGGAGTAAACTGGGGCCTACTTTAAGTAGTTGATATTTTCGGAGTCTTGGATATGATTGATTGGTTGAGGGAGTACGAAGGTTGGCCACGGAAAATCACGTAGACCAATGGATGGATGACATGTGGAGATAACGTTTGCGGGTAATCAAATTTTGGAGGCCGCTGTAGTTTGTGTCTTTGTGGCGTGACACGATGGACAATTTTGTACTTCGGTTCCGTGTTTGCTACAGTGACGTGATGTATTACTTGAATTAAGGAATATCATTTCTGCGTAATTTTTGTCTTGTGTAATTAATTAATTAATTAATTAAAAAAGAAAGAGATAAAGAAATGTGGGCTGCAGAGCACTCCTCAAGCACAGCAGTTGATCACGTACAAAGTTGAGAGACAAAGGAGCTAATAATGAGAACTGCGTACGTGGAACCTTTTGATAACTATATATAGAGTTTATAAAAAGAGCAAGTGAATAGGGCAGAAGGCCCTAAATTAAATTTTTTGACTAATTCAATAAATCAAATTAAACTTTCTAACTAGTCAAATAATTTAATTTATAATTTTTTTATTTTTTTAAATGTAACCTTAAATCAATGTTTTTCCGTTAAAATTAAAATAAAATAATACGCATTAAGTTATTATTGAGGTCAAATCAAACTATACTTATCCAATAATCAAGATAATTATTTAATGTATAAGTAGAAAATTAAAGATTGATATTTTAATTTTATTGATATCTGAAACGACCCGAAAATTTAATTTCGTAGAATTTTCATTTAAAAACTAAATTTTTATTCCAACCAATGAAATTCAGTGAAAATATTTAACTATTGCTAAAGCAGACTTGTAAACCAGTTTGAATTTTTCAAAATTTTATTCCAGCCAATGAAATTCAGTGAAAATATTTAACTAATTGCTAAAGGCAAGACCTTGATTTAAAAACTAAATTTTTATTCCAACCAATGAAATTCAGTGAAAATATTTAACTATTGCTAAAGCAGACTTGTAAACCAGTTTGAATTTTTCAAAAACCCAGTAAAAAACCCGTAAGCCAAGCAAAAATCTAGTCAAATCACTAAGTTGGACCAAACCGATTCGAATTGAACCGAAATAGTCTAGAAGCCCAGATTTTTTCTATCCTCTTCTTCTTTCTTTCTTTCTTCTTTCTAGGTCCAAGCCCGTCACCGACCTCCTCCTCTCCCTCTTTCTCTTGTTTTCCGATCACCGGAGATGAGTGCAACGGAGTTCTTTGCGCTGCATTCTCTCTGCCGTCACGCCTCAACTCCTCTCTCCCTTTGTTTCCATTCGAGTGAATCGTAGCAGCGCCACCGGCCTTCAGTCGCTGCTCAACGTCAAGTCCTCTACTCGCTCGCGACTCCGGCAAAAGTTGCAATGTAGGCGAGCTACAGTCTCTTTTCGGCAATCAACGACGACGTTAACGGTGGCACTTGGCCCCCTGTCGAGCCCACTCGGGTCACATAGAAGGTCGATCTCATGCAACTAACGCCAAAAATGGACTCCTGACAGAAAACCGAGCCAGATGGTGTGAAGAGCGCTCGATTTTAAGCAGCCACAGTTTTCCGGCCACAATAGACGGCAGCGGCGGCTCCAGTCTAACGATCGACCGATGAGTCTCCGGCGAGGCCCCAAGAGGCAGAATCATCTCCTCCTCGTGCGAATCGTGGAATCGTCATCCGATTTTTGATTGGTACACTCTAAAACGTAATTCCTCATTTTTGGTATAAATTTTAAATTTAAAACTAATAGATGATTAAGTTGATTTTGACTAAATAGTTAATCGAATATAATTCTTGTTAGGGAATAACGATAGACATTTAATTATTTAGTTACTATTAATGTGAAAATTAACTTGATGGTTATTGTTGTGAATCATGGTATTGGAGGAAAAACTAGGTGTTAAGTTACAGTTAAGCAAAATTTATAGGAGAAGTATTTAAATTAATATGCAATTGAAGCTACAAGTTGAATTCTTAGATAGTAATGATTAGATTAATGTATTTCTTACAAGCTTGATAGGGAGATTGTAGTTTTTCTTATTATGACAACATCTATTTTGTTTGCTTTATGAGTTGACATTATGAAGGTTTGAAAGCAAGATTGTAAATTTAGTTTTTGGTAGGGTAGTGAGTTAATTAATTTGAAAGTATAAAAATTTAATCAAGAAATCTAGACTTTTGGATATGGCAACAGTTAACTTGATAAATTTGTTTATATTTTATTATAATAGGAAATGATGTCTTATATCAAATTATTGATAGGAAATGGTAAGGATAGCATATAAATTATGAGTTTTAAACAAGAAATAAGAGAGTAAGCGAAATATGGGTTTTAAATATAAATTTAAATTTTTGGGGTTATAACTGCTTCCATATTATTCCATTGCTTGAATCTTGAGAATGATGAGGTGAGAAGTGACGCGATATACGAATTCTTTATCGAAGGGCGAATTTGTTAGCATGTAGGCTATGAGTTTGATTAGAAATTTGGTTCTGGTATTGGTATGGAGAAAGAAAGATATGTATAGATTTATGAGATATATTTATATAAATGTGTATGCTATGGTTGAGCTTGAAGTTTTATACATACAGGCACAAAATAAAGAATATGGAAAAGAATTAATCGTGAAAGCTAATTATGCACTTATGCTTATATATGTATCTATGTTTTCAAGGACTAATTAAAGATATTATTTAAAAATAAATTGTTGCTTGATATCATGGTACAATGAAGTTGTAAATTTAATTCTTGCTAGGGATTGATTAGTTAATGTGTAATATATAATATTTAATTTTGGTATCGAAAAACTTCAAATTTTGTGAATTAGTAGCAGTTACCTTAAGTTTTTGTGTTGTTTTAAAAGGACCTATATATGCAAGCGAGTGGGCTTTCAAGATTTGGTGTTGGTCGATTATTTATGGTTGATAGATGATATAAATAGGTTTGTTATTTATAATTTTGCTTAATAAGAATGATGATTCATGGATTGTTAAGTTGTAATACGAGATTGTTAAGGGTCTATATTAGATAATTTAACTAGTAACATGTAAAGGTTAAGCAAATAGCTATTTTTACTTATTTGCATTTTTATTTATTTACTTAATGTTATATAGTAAGTTAAAGTTTGACATGGACGATTAAATATTGATGTGATTATTTTGGATGGAGGAAGGGAAATAAATTTGTTTGATTGCCCGGCAACTGGACTATATGTTTTGATTGAATAATAATTAGTGTCATTGGGATATTTAAATAGGTTGATGTCCCATTTTTAGGGGAGGTGCTACCGAAATTTCGATAGAATCTAGGCTAGTTATATTTAATGGATAAGTTAATGATCCTTTAATTTGGTATATTTAAAATAAATCTCTTTATTTTCTTCAGTTCCTTCCTTTTGCATTTATAATTTATTAGATTGTCCGAGTTTGTCCAACGCTCCTGCAAATCAAAAATCCAAGAGCTTCCTCTCTTCTTCATTACTGTGAATACTAATAAACAGCGTTACCATCTGTATCATGCATAGTTACATTATCACGTAATGCTATAATTACCTATTTATTTAATTAGTAATTATTTCTTTTTATAGCATAAATATTCATTACTTTATACTTAAGTATATATGTGTATATTTATGTGTTTTTATTTTTTTATAGGCATAAATATTCATTACTTTAATACTTAAGTATATATGTGTATATTTTACCTATTTATTTAATTAGTAATTATTTCTTTTTATAGCATAAATATTCATTACTTTATACTTAAGTATATATGTGTATATTTATGTGTTTACATAATAATATTTGTTTATTTAATGTGCTTGCATCTAAATGCCATGTTTGATTAGATGTGTTGTGATGATGATGTGCCGTGTGTGTGGAATTGGGATGAAGTGGGTCACCATTGGGTTTGTGAGGGCAGTCTTCAATACCGTCGGCCATGTATGGGGAGATCAGCATCCCTATGTGCATCTGATGATAAGGATTATATGGAAAACCATAGAGTGGCCTCCTGTTGGTATGGAAAGAAAAGAGAGTATAAAAAAAATGAGAGAGTTGGTCAAGTGAGGATTAGATCAGTCGACCATGTATGGGGGATCTGATCCCTGGTGCACACGTCATGAAAGGGATGGGCCATGTGTGAGGAAAGCTCATCGGGGGTTTCGGTGACGCCACTAACCCTTCTCCACTTGTTTGATTACTTGAAGGTGTAATTACTTGTGGATGCTGATATTGTGTCATATGCTTAACCGACTGTGTGTGCATTTTAGTACTTTAAGATGCATTTCATGTGAATGCTTGCATTATGAAATATTTATTATTCATTATAAAACTCATTTCTTTTGTTTAACCTTTTCAAGAAGTAGGAATTCCCTTCGAGTTTGCTAAGGCTTTGCAATCTTCTTCACAGGGCTACAAAAGTAAATTTCTAAATTTGTGTAGTTAATTAATTAATGTATTGTTATATATAAACTTCTAGATATTATCGAACTCCGCAGTTGTAGAATTTATGTACCTTTAATCGTGTATTAAAACAGACATACTAATCTATGAATTTATGAAAGTCTTAATTGTTTATCTAAGGCATGTTTGAACCAGTAGCCAATATTATGAACGAGGTGTATTTCAAATAGGCCGAACTATGTTTTATTTGAGATGTTTGAGATTGGGCTAGGACTGTGTGATTACTTGATATATATAAAATAATATGGGCTTACTGTTCCTAGAAATTCGTTTGACATGTATATATGTTGTGGTTTAGGCTTACTATAGGCCTCGGGGGCCTTAAGCCTACCTATTCCCTAGTGCCGGTCCGGCCCATGATTTCGGGTCGTGACAAAGTCGGTATCAGAGCTTAGGTTAGAACCTTACAATGAAACTGCGGAGTATAGGGAATTTCGTCTCGTCTTTCTCAGTCTCCTTTGCTTCTACTTCAGCT